ATTCGTAGTATCTTATAGGCATTGATTTATTATCTTTAGAACAGAAAATTTGATACTTTTTAAAAATTTATATAAGAGTAAAATATTATCTTTAGCCGTCAAAAATCTTACTTTTACTTGAATATAAATAATTAAAAAAAAAAATCTGTTATTAATCTTTGTGAAACATGTATAATGTTTCTTCCGATAACCCAGATATTAATAATTAACTTGAACGAAGATGATTCCTATTATGATTTATGGGATAATGTTTTTTTAGATCATCAAGCCCGAATAAATGTTAATGCTAATCATCCACGAGCACCTGCTTTTTTATCAGAACATCAAGATCAATTGTCATCTAATTTAATATCTTTTCCTCCATGGCAACCTTCCTTTCCTTTAATTTCTCTCAGTCACCAATTTCAAACTGAAATTTTATATATGTTCCCTTGTGTTCCTTGTTCACATTGCTCAGTTCTCATGTTTCCTGTTCAAGCAAAATAGGTCTCTCGTGATATCAACTTAGAATATGATCTTTGTAGAGCTTTTCCATATTTGTCACTTACTGAACATCCTAATAAAGAAGGCTATATCGCTGTGTGTACTTCGTGTATATCTATTGCTAAACGTCATAATGCACCAATACTTGCTCCTATTCCAGATGCTCTAGCAAATATTCCGATATTTTATCGCTGTTGGCTTTCACCTATTCGCTTAAATTGCTCTCTAGGATGTGCAGAAAGTGCAAATTGTTTTACACACTATCGCCATCTTACAGGTACATTTGGTCTCTCAAAAAATCTTCGTGCATTACAAATTTACACTAGGATGTTAGGTGCTATCTTAGATTCTGCACCTAATGATAACTGGTTTCATCTATCTTTATTAGATGCAGCTAACTGGTTGAAAGTTAATAATCGATTCTTCATGCAATTTGATCAGATGTTTTCATCAATTACTTTTACGCGTCCTCCGAATGTTTTTCCTACAGCACAAATAATTAATGAAGAAAATGTAATATCTGATAACACACCACTACAACATCCTCTCGATATAGTAGTACCCCCATATGATTTTGACCCTGAAGTCCATAATGAAGATTTTCATTATAGTAGACTGTTAGCAGGTTTCTTAAGTAATTCTAGTAATGTAGAGTTACCGATTTCATATAATGATCCTAATTTAGAAGCTATACTTTTTTCTAATCTTTTTCCAGATGGACATGGTCATTGGAGAGAAATCTTTGAAAATTTAATTAATCGTCGTAACCATATCGATACATATGCTAAATATATTAAACTTCGACTATTGTATCCAGATTCTCGATTCCGTCTTCACTGGTACTGGCCATATTGGTCTTATATTAACTTAGAAAAACTACGAAATCACCAAAATTGGCAACGTATTTTACGTCAACGAGATATAAATCGATAGCAACTACCAACAATTCCGGATTTAATTAATCAGAGTAATTACTCCAATCGACCTATTATTAATGAAACATTAACTACTATACTTCCCTCTTATATCCGAACTGGCAATACATATTTTCGTCAATGTCAACATTCTGTAAATGCAATAGTTCAAAGTTTTGGCCTACCTCAAATCTTCTATACTATAACTATAGCTGAAGGCCTTTGGCCACATTTACTAAAAATTCTATCATGCACTGATGACTATTGCACCCTACTAACAAATCGCCCCTTACATACTTATTTTCATTATTATCAGAGATTAAATTCTGTTCGAAATTTGCTATGGAAAAATCCAAATTTAGCTGAATGGGGTAAATGGTTACATCATTTTGAACGTGATGAATTTCAAAATCGTGGCAGTATACATACTCACGGTATAGCTTATCTCGATATGTCTATTCCAAATCTAATAACTCATAATGTTATTCGTGCAGACTTACCTGATTTTCAAACTGAACCAGTTCTTTATGAACTAGTTCGTAATCATCAAATCCATCGTTGTTCCCCTAATAAGTGTGGTGGTCCACCTCTTCCTGGAGAACAATGTAGAAAAAAATTTCCAGCACCGCTATCTGACTATACTTATTTTAATCCTACTTTATTACGTTATACTTATCGTCGGATTAAGTAAGAAGATCGATGGGTTGTTCCCTATCACGCGCCTACTTTATTATTATAGCAAGGACATTGTAATTTTCAATATGTCACTTCTAAATCTTTTGCCAAGTATATGACCAAATACATTACCAAGCCTGAAAGTTCTGATCTATTTAGAATAACTAAAAATTACACTTATTGTTCTCATATCTTAGCTCGCCGTCTTGGTGCAATGGAATTGATGATACTCTTGATTGGATATTTTATTTGTCATTCTACTATTGCTACAGAGTATCTACTGACTACATTGCCTAATATTCGATCAAAGTGTGTAAAGCCGATTCGTCTATTAAATAAGGAAACTTCTAATCCATACTGGGCGGATGCTATTGACAAGTATTTCCTCAGACCCATCGATTCACTCTTTAATAATATTACATATTCATGTTATCATCAAGATTACAAAATAATATCTAATCAACCGAATTTAAATATTAATTATTGAATAGATCAGCAGAATAAATTCGTAATTAAAAGAAAAAAATTGATATTAGTAAGATTTCAATATCTTTCAGTAGAAGACAGTGAACCATTTTTTTACCAACAACTTCTACTTCATTTACCCTGTAGAAGAGAGAGTGAATTATTAGCTTCTTATTCTAATTATCAAGACCATTTTCGCTCAATATTTCTTGAACAATTCGATCAAGTTGTACAGAATATTAGTCAGAATACATCAGCCAGATTTACTAGATTTTCTAATAATTACCAACACCAAATCGATAAAATAATACAGAGTATGCATCGAGATATTGCAACTATTATACGTAATCAGCTTGATACTATAATGTGTTCTCCACC